AGACGCCAGTCATCGCTTCTTTGAAGACGAATGCTTCTCTGAGATGCATTTCTGCAAGTAAGCTTCATTCAAGCATTTACAGAGACTATATAGCGCGGGAATTATCCGGCTGCTTCCAAATACTTGGCCTCATCGACCATTTTCCTTCGCACGAACAAATTTTGGGAAATCTGTTGATCGAATCCAGCCGGAAAAGTGTCATTAGTTCTTCCTCGCGAACAACAATGGTTGTGACCAGTACTTTTTGTAAAATCTCATGAAACAGGTATCGGAATAAGTGGTTTACAAAGTTGAGAGGAGATCAAGCGAAACTTTACTGGCTAAAGATTAGTAGCAACTGACACTCAAGTAAAGTCATCGGACTTCCTTCAGAGAAGGTTCATTGACTGGCCAAGCTAAAATCATCGCCTTCGTATTCTTTTTCTGGTGACAGGAAAATAGATTATACGATCTGGATGCAATCGTCTTTGTCATTTTGAGTGCATTGTCTTAGGTACCCTTTGAACCCTCAGGGGGAACCCGACAAATCACATCGAACGATTGACCTGGTCAATTTGCAGGTCGTATCGGTCAAGTGGTCTGCAAACGCGCTGGGTTCAGTGCAGGACGGTAAATAATTAGCTCTTCTTCGAGTCGTGATACATTAAAAAATTTTGGAATACGCGATAACGGACTAGAGCCTCATCCAAGGACCTAAGGATCTCTACTTTAGGTTTATGCCAGGCGTGTTGGAACAAACAACTTCTCAGCCGTAGTGCAATGAATGGGAAGCTGGTGTATGAAAAGTAACAGATTCAGAAGACTTTGTGTTTATTCACTACTGATGTACCTAGGCTGGTGGCACGGGAGTGAAATGCGCTCTTTAAATCCTGTCCAAATGAGATTTTTTCGAAAGTTTGCGTGTGAGTTTCGACTATTTCTTCCCGATCAGGAAGTCACCTCAAACAAGTCGTGATCAGACCTCAAGGGAGCAAATAAATTTGTAGTTCAGTTGCAATCAATGTTCAATCAAAAAACTTGAAAGTGTTGCGTAGACTATACATCCAAATCTGCTTTCTGACTGAATAGGTCATCTGTTTAAATTATCAGTTACTTACACGATACGGAGGGTTTTTGATAATACCCTCAGTTCGCACCCGTCAGTTCGGTCTATAAATCTTGGTTTGCCCATAAATGATGGAAACTTCCGGTTCGGTATGTCTAAAACGGTCCTAAATCTTGTGTAAACGTAATTCACTGATCATAATTTTGCAACTCAACAGCCCACGAACAGTTTTGCTCTTTTTGGGGCTGTCGGATTCCGGGTGAGTCTCCCATCAAAACTAAATTGATATGCAAATGAGTGTGTTTTTCTATCCAGGTAGAACATAAGGTCGACGGTAACTTGGGAACTGTGCCAACCTGATGAGTTATGGAAGAAGCAAAACAGGCCATAGCCCGTCAGAGAGTTTTCAGCAACCTTATGAGCATTGTACTACGTCTACAAAATGTATTGCGACACCTCGGATATCTTACCAACTGAAACATGGAGCAGTCTGGTGCTCACATTCAGTTGCTTGACAGCATGATAAACGAGAGATTCGAATGGGTTCCGAGTGAGTCTCCCGTCTAAATCTCCCGTCTTAAATCTCATGGTGGTCTAACATTTGCTCTCTGGAAGCACCGAACGGTCCTGATGTCCTAAAAACTTCATCTTCAAGAGAGCATCTGGGCATCTTCTCCATCTAGTCAGCCTTATTAGAAGAGGATATCCCAGAACATTTTCCCTGTGGGGTTTATCGGACGTCAACAGTAACCCTCCGGTTATTAAGTGCCTCTGATTAGGCATGGCAACCCCCCGACTATTTTGATAGCAATCACTGACAACCAATGTCTTGACTCTATCTAGAGTATCAAATGCCGTGCAGGATAGCTGAATAGCCGTTTCAACAGGGCTTCAAACTGAGCTTCTGTTCCAGCTGGCGAGCCTTTAGCTCTCCAATGAACAAAACTGTGGATCCAAGGTTAACACTTTGAAGAGCGCTTCGCCAAGAGTTGCTACAAAACATTATGAGTTTATAACCCTGGTTGCTTGGGAAATATCGTAAAAGTCATTGTCTACCTGATAATTTAGGCTGTTTGGAAGAAGTATCGCGCTCGATTACTGAAGTCGAAAAGTCGTTGAACTGGACATGTTCTTCTGAGGAGAACTTGCGCGAACCGGTTCGTAATCGCTCTCAACTCGTTCGGGCTCTGTAACTTTAAATCACAACAAGTCAATACGACGGAGCACATCGAGAAAAGTCATCGGGTGTGATGCGAAATCCGCATGAGGTTTTTTCCAGTTCGGGCACACACAGTATAATAAGTACACTCTCGGGTGAAACAGAATTTATTGTCTGCAACCGCAGATCTGGTCGCAAAACTGATGTAACGATTTGTATGATTACCACAGAATCTTCATTAGTTTTTTTCCAGATAGCTTCATTTATACTCAGAGCACAACGCCTTCAACCGATACTTCCGACAAAGCCCATCAGCGGTACCTTAGTATCTGGATTTTAACTCAGTTTCGTTGTACAGTGTCCTCCAACACATGGTTAAAAATCTATCTTATTAAAAGCTGCTGAAACCTGCCAAACCGTGGTACTGGATATCAAATAAATATAATACATAAAGAACGACAGATCAACTGTCTTGCTCAAGGTGTTTGGTTTTCATCAGGGAGTTTTAAGGTCCTGTAAATGGATTGCTTTTACTTGCGTCAACACACTTCTGCATCCAGGTACACAAGTAACAACGAAGCAAAATGAAATGGAACAACGAGCTTCCTTGCACGGCACGACTTGAGGTCCCGTTTAATTGGTGAGTGAGATGGGTCACAACCCACTCACAAAGCCGCGGATGATCACAATTAGCTGTTCTTCAAGATATTAACGTAAGAGGATGATTTCTTTCTACCATTGTACTTGATTGATTATTGCCTGATCCGATTCGCCAAAATTTACAAGTGAATAATCGATAACCACAACGTGGCACACAAGCTGTATTAAGCTAGCAACTGGCACGAGGGACCAAACGGCAAGCACAAAGAAACCCTGTTTTTTAGTGTGAAGAAATATCAGAGGTACTCTACTCCTTACGTTTGTACAAATCCGCCAATATATCTTGCGGATGTCGGAGTAACTAAAACAATGTCGGGGAAGTTTACTTCTGACGGTTACTCATCAGAACAAACATGAATACATACATAGACGTATTTTTACACCTGCCATGAAGATCACACTCCTAATTAGAGATATTCCTTGCTCGACAGAACAAATTTACTCTGCGTGATGTGTATCTAATTCACAAGGTTATGTTGGAAGAAGATATGACGAGTCAGTGAGAATTCCTAGTCCATCCGGAGGCGAGATGGTTAGAGCGCAAATTCACTGACCGGAAGGTCTGCGGTTTGAACCCGAACTATGCCTCTCGACTTCCCCTGTCTAGGCCTCCAAGCCCTCGTGCTTCCTTCTGGTGGCATGGCAGTCAGGTACCAAAAGGATGCTGCAGCTGAACGATTTGGTCCATCTGCCATAATTAAACGGTCATTTAAGGCCGGGCGGCTTCGGCAATGTAATGGAATAAGTTATTCCAAGTTACCGGACGGGATAGTAAAAAAAGCGTCTCCCGGCAAACGTCAATGCACTCATCTACACTGGGTACCTGGCTAATATTTCTCATGAAACGTAAATCAATTTCCCCTCCTGCCGTTTCTGATGGACTCGTTGCTTGTTCACCCTATCGTTAAAGGTTTCCTGTGCACCACAACCCACAAGCCTCCTCCGAGTCACGGAGCGATAACCCCACTTTTGTTGCTTTCAAATTAGCTGAATAACTCTACGATAAAAACCCTTCATTGGTAAGTTTACTTTACTACAGTCATCTCATAGAAACAGATTTGAGATAATTAACGCAATTCTCGTTGGAACTCTTACGTATGAATTTCCGAAACTGTATATGGAAACATTGAGACACATTCTTTTCCATATTGTTAGACACTCTTCTAATTGTCTGAAATTAGAGAAGAAAACCCAATGTTATATTCAGCCATATTTGACTTCAGCAACTAAGACAAGTGTACAATAACCTGTACCCTGTGAACCTTCCCAGATCGGTCTTTCTCAGCAATGCCTTCACTGGTCTATTACTTGTTTCAATAGCCTTTTGAACGGTACACGACGTCAAATGCGCCAGTCCGTAGTGTCCTTTATGCAGACACAACGCTGCATTCTTTATCAAAGGAAGTCATCAGCGACGTACCTGTTTTACTCGCGCGCTTACCTGGTAAGCTTCAGGTTTTGATTCTCCAGACATCTCCATCAACCTTAAGCAGTATATTATCTGGAAGAAAATGCGTCACTTAAAAAAGTCACTTAGTGCTCCTAAATATGTAAGGCCTCTTTACTAAACTATGGATTATATAGAATGCAACTCGCAGAATTTTTAGGTTTTGCTTGAACTTTTTGCTATATTTCATAACCAACGGTCCACAGCCGTCGTGATGCCATGTGTTAATCCACACGTGAATCAACTGTGACGTCAACTTTCAAGGCCTCAAACAGTAAGGGATATTCTTCAATTCAGCTACTGGTTGACGTTCAAGAAACTAGCTATGTTGTGTGTGACGTGACAGTGCCACATAAGAACTAACACTTGTTGACAGCAAATGGAATAGGCACTAATGCTTTGCTGAACGAATCGATGCAACAAAACTGCTCCAGATGCTTTTTTGGAAAAGACAAGACGCAGGAAATTGAGGGTGAATCGCCCGCTGAGTGAGGGTTTTAGTGAAAGTGCATTAGTCTGCACTGAATTTCAAGTCACCGATTCATGGTCTTTCGGAATGCCCGAAATCTAAGGCCACCTGCATAATAGTTCGAGCACCAAAGTTCAGTCCTTTAACCACTACCCAGCCCGTAAAGAATATATGTCTAATAACTGCACTTTTTCCTCGACCACTGTGCCCATACCTTCAGGTTCATCTCTTTGCTTCATCCAACAGAAATGAAAGAAAATTGTTTGGACCACTCAGAGCCTTTTAGCAAGCTGAATGCATCACCGTTATCTGTTCTGGTCCTCATGGCTGCGGTCCCAATGAGCAGTGATGTACACCAAGCTCCTATGCACGAAAGCCCTAGTCAGCTCTAGTGCGAGCTGAGTTTATTAGTCTTATGTGGTTGCATTTCGAATACCACATTTCAGGACTATTGATGCACAGATTGCATTTTGCAATAGCTTGTTCGCCCAAAGTCTGCGTAGTTCTTGTATTATTGTTCATCTGGACATTTTCAAATGTACCTGACTTTCATATATCAACTTCCCTGACTTCATGAGCCGATAAAAAGTTAGAATAAGTTCCGTCATCCTTACTGAGGAACCGTTCATTGCCGTAAACTGACGGCTGTTCTGTTGAACTAAAAGTCACAAAACTGTCTGGCTGCTCAGTGGTGTCAACCGAAAATGCTCCAGACCTACCGATGTGGTTCGGGATCGCAATTAGCCAGTTCCTTTGTATATATGTGCCTCCAAAGGATCAAGTGACGACTTGAGCGGCTTCAGTGTGAAGCAAAACCGTTTAATCGAGTTTGTTTCATATTGTCGAGCATTACTACAAATAACGAAGAGTCTTCGGTGCAACTGCCAGATAAGATGAAAGACTTTGTGTTGTCTTAGCTCCTCGGACCACCTCTCTTCGGTGTAGCTGTCAGGTAAGATGAAAGACTGTATGTCGTCTTAGCTCCTCGTGCGAGTGATCGGACAACCTCTTGATGTATATACGTGGATGAGGAACTATATGCATTTTCTAACATATGGTGTAATCGAAACAATCTGGCTGTTGATGTCCACTCGGCAAATTAAACGCCAGCTTCCAACTGCTATTTTCGTTACACAACACCATGTGCGCATAACTTGCAACGGATTTGACTGACAAATACAACAGCTAGTTGTGACGTAAGACTTCCATGAACTTGAAGGAAGAATCAATACGTCACCACATTTTTGTCCAATTGGCTTAACTCAATATTCGCAATATAATCCCGTGTAACCTCTTCAACACCTCATTTCACATTCGGAAAACGAATAACTACTAAAGAAGTAGCAGAAAATGCTCGCACTTCTATCAAATTCCTGTAATGGTTTTCAAACCTCAAAATATCTGTCTAGCTAGTCGCCGATTAGCGTGAAGCAGTAGACAACTCCGGTGCCGAACACTCGGAACAGCAAACATGTTGAAGCATACAAAAGACAATCTTCAGCTGGCGTTCTATCTTCAAAGTGCTTCTGATTTAGCTCATAGACCTGGGTGTTAGTATGCATGCCAGAGCTGATAGTCGTAGAATATTTATGCGTCACTTGGTGACTTTATTAGTAAAAATGTATTGTGTTAGTTGAAGACGAAGTCATCAGCAGCAACAATGTGCCGGTAGTAACTATCGATACCTCATTATCGTAAAGTGGTGGGAAGAAAACATGCTAATAGAGTGGAATTAGAAAACCCCAAATTCTAGTGTCAAAGAAAAAAATTAGCGTCAAAATACATTTAGGTAAACCGATAAATTTGGTGACATTTCTCAGAATACATTACAAAGCGTGCCCAGTACAAGCTGACAGACAAAGTTCAGTCTAATCCTCAGGTAAGAAATTTAGACGGTCTCGCAATACTTTCCTAGATTGTACCCCGTTCGATCAAGTCACTTTACCACCAATGGTTTCCACCATGGACATGGTTTCCATGGGCAGGGTTAGTACCTCACCAATATAAGCCACCTTTGGGGACTGTGCCTACTTGATGACCCCCAAGAAGGGCAAAATCGGTCGTGGGCTGTTGAGGAGTTTTCAGCAACCTTATGAGTAGTGCATTACAAAATAAGCAACCCCTGTTGCTCTGATAAGTCTGGCTCGTTGCTAAATGTTCACTCACAGCCATCCAATTCTTCCTCTGCTACAAAGACAAACAGAAGAAGATGGGATACAGAAAATTGAACCTTCTTGTCCATGTTGATTTCCGGTGCGTTTCACTGTCATAAGATAACTGAAGCCTATGCAAGATACAAATCGACGAAGTGTAAATAAAGCTTACGCGGTGAAATAGCTGCCACTTGATGTTGGAAGTGATCAATCAAAAACTTATTCTCGGCTGACAAATATTCATTGTGGGGTTTTCTGAATAATCCTGAAAAGCACTGTAGTCTTTTGAAAACAGTCCATGTTACTTGGGATCTAGGGATTCCTACTGACTACATGAAAAGGTCAGATTGTACAAACAACATCAGATTAGAATACGTAGGGCAAGCATACAAACAAGTCGACGATGCTACCATGGGCAGTGCTTTAGATCCAGCACTGGCGAGTATCCTTGTGACTGAACAATGCAATGTCAATGAAATTTCAAAATCTTCTGTTCTATCTGCCACAAGGTGTGGTCAGTTTGTTTAGTCAGTTCTCGACAGCTGATAAGCGCGGGCTTGTAAAGAATTTATTCTACAAAGCAGATTAAAACAAATAATGCAGGGGAAAAAAACTCCTGAAGAATACCCTTCTGCATAACGGCTATCCAGGCCGTTTCATTGAAATACTCTGAAAAGCCGGAGCATAACTAGCCCCGGTTCATTCAGCGAGCAGGATATGCGCCTACGGGTTTGTTCAACTCATTACCTACATAATACACAAGCTCATTTGGTTAAAAACTGTTCACATTGCAGCTGAGCTAAGTTGCATGCCGAACGCGGGATTATTTGCTCTGCGGAAGGCTGTCTAGGCTGTCCGATCTATCTCCTACCACATAGACCATGAGTTATCCTGCAGCTTCGGAGACGCATGGACATTGACAAACACAGAGAAGCGTAGTGGAGCGTGCGGCAGAACACATTCCAATTTGATTAAATGCTGTCAGGAAAGCAGTCGCGTCAACGGTCAAATAGCATCGTCGATAACTAGATATCTGTGAGGGAATGACCCGGTCAAGCTCTTCGCAACCGCAATGCACAACACAAACTGTAACGTCTTGGCAATAAGTGAAGCTCTGCTGATTGAATCGAACCAATCCATATTATTTGCACAAACACACCTAAAACAAACGGGTTACCCTGGCCACTGATCATGTGATTCGCATAAATTGTCCAACCAGTGCCCGTTCAAGAGTGTTTCTAATCTTCATTTATACAATTTGCATGTTTCATATTCGCAACTGAAAAGAGTAAATGAAATGCAATGTAAGTTTACTGTCAGTTCTCATGCATTACGAAGGTGCCAAAATAAATGTGGTTGTGAATTGAATTATAGATTAGGGTAATCCAAAAAAGAGCAAAACAATCAATAGACCACCAGTAGATTTAGGGGACGCTATTCAGTCAAGAGAGAGTAATGAGGCGATAAGTGGCGCTCATGTCTGAAGTCGGAATTTTTGAACCGGTTACACCACGACTATAGCAAGATAAAAACTCGAAGATTACTGAATAATTTTTCCGAAAGTATTTCTGGATGTTTAGAATTTTTCGTTGCGGTTTCCAAACAATCTGGCTCACTGATGTCGATTCCTATACAATTTTTTTTCATCAAAAAAGTCTGTCTCAAGGAGAAAGTTGAAGTTTCCCTTACCCAGAGGGCGGGATAAATCAGTGGTTAGAGCACGAATTTACACTGAACAGAAGGTCCATGATTCGAACCCAAACTCCGCGTCTCGACTTTTTCTGTCTAGACTTGGATAACCTAGCAGTATCCAGGCCCTCCTACTTCCTTTCAGGTGGCATGGCAACCAGAAAACTTAAGGGTGTTACAGCTGAATGATTTTTTCCCAAAGTGATGACGGTTGTACTATTGAACTCAAAATTTGCCTGGATAAGGCGCGAAGTAACTTTGAAAACCAGTAACCGAAAGTTCGCTTCACAGAAAACCAATTCATTTTTGCGGGCTGATGCTATTCCCTCAATCTCACAAAGCGTGAAAATCGAAACCAACTACTTATATACGACTACAAAAATCAAGCGGGAAGTTTTGACGTGTTCTGGATAAACTGCAATGCTCTACTGGCCTATTAAAAAGCAACTCTACGCCAGAAGTAATAATAACACATGACACGTCATAAGGGAACAAAGCTACTGATATGTCAAGTTATTGTGAGTCACCTTAATGGAACAGAAGATCAACCTAAAATCATGTAAAAGTTATAGACGTTGACATCATCATTATTGGCGTCATCACTGTCAACAGTACTGCATCAGTAGTAATTACCGGCGCGTACTTCAGACATGGCGCCGATTCCTTTTATTACGTACTTACATTTTCATCAGTTAGTTGCTGACGTTCTGCACGCCATTAATGGGACGACTCACCAGAATGAGTCATTCATCCCATCATCAAAGTCAGATTGAGGATTTCAGGTCATTTGTTCCTAGCTACCACGTTTGTCATTTCAACACTCAACTGTGTTATATATTTCCCTCTTAGCTTTCAAAAGAGCACAACCAGGAAATACCGTGCCGGTGATATGTTCACCAACCAACGTTTATTATAGGTTTACATGGGACTCTATCGTTACTGTGGTTTTCAACCCCCAACAACCAAAGAACTCAACTCCGCCTGTTCGCTTCGAAAGCTATGCTACTTATTGATAAAGAAAGCCATCGGATTTCAACAGCCATTTGTTCCTCTTAACGTGATTGCACACAAAGTTATTACTTGAACAATGGGTACCTCAGCATAGGTATGATAAACTAAAATCCGGTCCACTTACTTTCCACTTTCGCCCAAGCCCCAATTAGCGCAGTCTTTGAACTGTATTGCCTAGTCCTACAAATGTGTAGTATCTTTGTCAGTGCATGTTTTGTTATGCAGGTGAATGCATATGACGCGAAATCTTCATATAATTTCGGTAGAACAAGCGTAACAGGTTAGATTGGGGAATTCAGATCATTTGTCCTTAGCTACTACTTTTTGTCACTTCCACATTCTTTTGTGTCAAATGTTTCCGTCTGAGCATCCGCAAATGTACGACTTGCCGAAAATATTTTCATCAAGCAGTCTTCGTCACACTTTTACATGGGAATCTCTCATTATTGTTTGCCTTCACTCCCCGGATAGCCGAGGAACTCACCGAAAGCATGTTCACCGCCAATCTTCCCAAAGCGGCGAGTTCAGGGATTCAAAAT